TGAGAATTATACCACGGAGTCAGGTACTTCTGATTAGAGACCTTAGTTTTCACAGGAGCTACAGTATCCAGAGTCGTACGTAGTGAGGAGGTGAAATTATTAACAAGATAATCGACTTCTGTTGGGGTAGCGTTCAGATAGCTATAGTAGGGCTACATACCGACTACAGTAAGCTGTAGTAAAATAAGGTACAGGTGTGTGTTACCTGGCTTCCACCATACTGGCGACATCAACGCCAAGGCAGTGTGGCCGGGGCAGGGTGCACAGGAAGTGCAGGTTGGCGGGGCTGAAGGCTCGAACCGTCCCATTGGAGCAGCCACAGAAGATGAAGTCATCAGTGACACACAGACAGGTGGCCTGAGACGTCTGAGGACACACGGACAGGTAAGTACACGCACCTCCACCTGAGCTATGACAGAATGCAGTAATACTGCAGTACTAACGCTAAAGTGCTGATACTACTGCAGTGCAGGACGGTGCTGCGATGGAGAGGGTAACGTGCCAGAGTGGGTGTGGTGATGTTACAGCCATGAGGTAGTTAAACGTGGACCTCGTTTGAAATTGACCAATGAGGGTGAGATGAAGGGAGTGGGTGTGTCTGATCTTTGTCACCAGAAACGTTTTACTGCTGTAAAAATCGCTCCTCGCCATTCAGTCGCCACGGCGCCGTGTCAGAGAGGATCGATAGCAAATGAAAATTGTGATTAATAATGATGTCACACAGTCAGCTGCTGTGGTGGGAGGAGCTGTGGTGAAGGGCAGAGTTTGAAATGAAACAACGTAAACACGTTTGGTGGCGGTGTGTGTGTGTGGGATGTATTCGCGGCGGGCTGAGGTGGGACGAGGACTTACGGCGACAGAGTCGACCCTCTGCGCAGGAAGCAGAGGAGGAAGCAGAGCATTAGAGCAGAAACAGTGACATCACGCGACCACTGTGTAGACGCCTGCTATCAGGCCGCACGCACTCACCCTTAACTCCACCCACTTGTCGAGGAGCCGCCGGTCGTTGAACTCGCACAGCAGGCCGGAGGAGGTGATGCAGAAGGTGGAGGCGGCTTGTCTGCCCCGCCCACACGCCACATCACTGAAGAAGTTATTCCTCAGCTCGCCGAGCAGTCCCGAGCGCCCGAGCAAGGGCACGGTGGCGTTCACCTGCAGACACAAAAACCATCAGTAACCGCACAGGAAGTCCCAGCCAATCAATCTTTAGGTGGTCACGCGGGAACCTTGCAGGTCTTGGCGTGGTCCAGGTACCAGAACTTGACGTGTCGGTTTCCAGCGGTAACGAAGTAGGAGCTGTCATCCGAGAAGGAGACGGCGGTCACTTTGCTGGACACCTTATTGGACGCCACGACTACGTTTTTCTGAAACGGACAGACAGCAGCAGGTGAGCACGAAGACCTTTTCTCAGGTGGCATCTCTCAGGTGCACTCGGCCACGCCTCCGTCACCTTCCAGTTCCATACGTTGACCACCATGTCGTGCTGGTAGCCCACGCTGACAATGTACTTCCCATTTGGAGAGAACGCCACGCACGCAATGCCATATTTATGTTCCTGCAGCTCGCACACCTGAATGCACTCTGATACCTCCCAGACCCGGACCGCCGGCATGTGACCACTCTGTGGAAGACAAGAAGGAAAAAAATAAGCATCATCTCTCACCTGAGGTACCAGGTGAACACCTGAGCGCTGTCGTGGCATGCTTACCTCTCCTGTGACCACATACTTCCCGTCCGGCGAAAATGCCAGCGTCGTGATTGCCTTCCTGTAACAGGAAACGGTCTTTATTCCATGTTTTCCTTACAGAAGCAGACAAGAAGTGTGATCTGATTGGCTGCTGGAGTCTTACCTGGAGCTGTTGAAGATGTGATGCTGTTTGTTCTTCCGTGGATTCAGCAGCACGACCACACACCTGCAATGACACGGCCAGGTAACATGATCAAAACACTCATTCACAGGAAGTAGGGCTGCCACAAACGATTATTTTGATAGTCGACTAGTCACCGATTATTTTTGCGATTAGTCGACTAATCAGATCATCATTCATTGGATGTAAAACGTACAGCTTATTGCACCAGCAGCATCTGCTCTTATATAACTATTTTTAGCTTACAGCTTTAAGTGTTTAAGGTCTGTGCTAACTAAAAATAAAGACAAGATGAT